AACCAATGTTGTATTTAATATCACCTGAAGATTAGACACCCCAACTTATTTCACCACGTATCATCACCACGCATCATCACCACGTAGCATCACCACGCATCATCACCACGTATCCAGCACCACGTATCATCACCACGTATCATCACCACGTAGCATCACCATGTATCATCACCACGTATCCGGGGGCCGGGTGGTCCCGGCTAACTCAATTTCGAGTCATGTGGGGGAGGAGAGACAGACCATAGCAACACTGACCTCTGATGCCTGGGGAGATGAGGGCTGGGGGATGGGAGGGGAGGGGTGGGGTGGGGAGGGGAGAGGTGGGTAGGCGAGGGGTGAGATGTGGGGCGAGGAGGGATGTGAGGTGGGGAGGGAAGAAGCGAGAGGGTCTGTGTCACTTCATATACACCTTTATCACTGTATGTCACAGCCGCCAGTTATATAAAACACCACAAACTTTCTCATGATTACTGCTTAACTACCTAATTACCTTCTTGCCTAACTACCTGACGGCCACCACAGCTAGAGGTGGCCAGTCATGACGGGGGAAGGATGCTGTTGGCTAGTGTTGGATCCCTCCACACACACGTGCCCTAACACCTGCTGCTGGGTGTTGTGTCGTGGACGGCTGCCGAGTGCTGTCTGTAATCTTCTCTTACGTTTCTCTCCACCCATCTATGATAACCCTCGAGGTTATGGCCCGCCAGTTTATTACAATGTGTTAGTTTTATAGTAAAGTTCATATTCACTGAAGACTATTACGGTAGGTGGGGGAATAAGACATTGGACGGGATATCTTAAAGTGGATTAAGGTGAAGTTAATCAACTGGGAAAACAAAAAGTCAACCTAACTGGTAAAAAAATCCGTCTGGGGCAACAGGTCACTAGACAAATTGCCAAACAAAAATAAACTGTAGTGTCGACTGAACACCAGACACAATTGAATGACGAAAATGAAGAAAATTAAGAAAATGAAGAAAAATGAGGAAAATATAGTTATTAGCCTAATGAACGATAACAAGGAAACACATTAACACCTAAACAACCTAAACAACTCCTGTGAGACAAATTTATGGGTAATGTTAAGTATGAGAACCCAAAGATCAATGTGCTGAACCTACACTATAAGACTACCGAAGTACTGTACAGTGTGAGGGTTCATACTTTATCTAAGAGCGTTAGTAACAGGAGAAGCGATGTTATCTTATGAGCTATATTATATCGCTTACGTGAGACTACCCAGTACATACACTTGGACTATGCGGTTCAGTTTTGGTCAAAGGAGGATCACACTGTTAGTCCTCAAACGTTCAGAGCCTCCAGTACAGTAGAGACGGAAGGGGAGGGGTGTTTATATGCTTCAACCTCTGAGTGTCACACCTGATGTTTGGCACTAAATACCTGTCAGGTGAGCAGGTAGTATAACACCTCCATTGACAACTACCACGTGTCCACTACCCTTAACTACCTTGTATGTGTCCTCCAACCAATGTGTCTTCATTATGTATCCACCACCACGTGCCGCCCAGCACTACGTATCTGGCGCCGGGTGGGGAGGGAGGGGTTGGTTGGCTCACGCGTCACACAACGTGGATGAGGATACCTGGGGAGGTGGGGGCAGGGGGAGACGGAGGTGAGGGGTGAGAAGAGGTGGGGAGGGAAGGTGTGAGGAGGGGAGGTTGGGAGAGGAGAGGGGGTGAGGAGGTAGGAGGGGAGTGTAGTACTGGGTGGTAGTGTGGGTAATGGCCGTCCACAGCGAGAACAAAAAAACAAAAAATTAATGTTTTTAATGAGAGGGTTCCACCTTATCGGGGAGGCGTGTGTGGGGTGGGGTGGGGGGGTCGATCACAGAGCCCCCCCCCCCCCACCATGACACACTCGGGGTGCTTGGTGTTAAATTTCAATTGCATCTTAAAACAACAACCGTAAAAAAAAAATAAAAAAAAGGACGAAAAAAAGGGGGCTGCGCCTCCTGTATACTGTGTCTTATAACTTAATGCTTAGTCCTTCGTCAGCTACTACGTCAGATACCTTAGCGAAGTGAAGGTATAGGTAGTTAGTATTACCATCAAGCTCCAGCAGCTGGGTCATGAGGGAGCGTCCGGGTATAGTCCTACACTCAGGCTAACATTTCTTAACGAGGCTGTTCAGGTGTAGGTGGTATAATACTCTGCAGGTCAGGTAAGACGTTTTGTTGTTAAGTCACTACAGTACATACACGACCATGAGTAGTTTCATCCATTATATCTTTCTTTAACTCAATATGGCCAGGTGTGACACAAGTGACCTGAGTTAGCCTAAATAATGAGAGGGCCAAGAATGTTGACTCTGTGAACCATGTGGGCAGTTCTGTTCCTCTGCAGAAGGTCTTGGCGCTACACTTGTATCTATGGGCCGTCGAGTGAAGTGTTGCCAGTAAACAAAGATAGTCGCCCTGTTGCTGATAAACAAAGATGGTCGCCCTGTTGCCAACAAACTAAGATGGTTACCTAGTTGCCAATAAATAAAGATGGCTGCCCAGTTGCCAATAAATAAAGATGGCTGCCCAGTTGCCAATAAATAAAGATGGCTGCCCAGTTGCCAATAAATAAAGATGGCTGCCCAGTTGCCAATAAATAAAGATGGCTGCCCAGTTGCCAATAAATAAAGATGGCTGCCCAGTTGCCAATAAATAAAGATGGCCGCCCAGTTGCCAATAAATAAAGATGGCCGCCCAGTTGCTGATAAACAAAGATGGCCGCCCAGTTGCTGATAAACAAAGATGGCCGCCCAGTTGCTGATAAACAAAGATGGCCGCCCAGTTGCTGATAAACAAAGATGGCCGCCCAGTTGCTCATAAACAAAGATGGCCGCCCTCACATGAAACAAATCTTTTAAACCACAACAGAAAGTTATTTATCTGATGTGAAACAAAACAGTCCTACTCCTCCTCACAAACTCCTCAACCATAACAGACTCAGCCCAAGAATTTGAAGAATGTGTGTGAGAGAGAGAGTAGGAATCCAGTTGTATTGACTGAGGAGCGTGGAGGGGGTGCGGGCACATGTAGAGATACATACTGCAACATGTTCAACGTTGTTCACCCCACTACAAGTTAATGTTTCTGGAGGGCTGGAATATACATATAACTTTGACAGTTACCTCTGAAGATGTCTTGAATAAAGACGAAAGCTAAGGTACTCCGTTGTTTCCATTTTCCCGTGTGATTTTATCAAGATATAACTTTGAAGAACAGTGACAATTAACGCTCTACATATTTGCTACAGTGACGCTACAAACATCGTCCTTGGAAATATTAACGGTTTCAACTTAAGGACAAGTGGATGTCTGAATGTATGTACGTGATTTAAGTACCTGTACCATGAAGGACATTGCTCAGTCACGTGTAGTATCTGGAGTGAACGGATGGCCGCCCCACTAGAGGTCACAGTCTCAAATTCAAAGAGCTAATTACTTTTAGAGGAAGAGTTATGAAGTGTTGTAATAACCTGCCAGTGAGTGTTGTGACAGTACCGTGTGTGACCAGACTTGACCAACACTGGCACAAGTTCAGGTACTGTAAGCATTCAAAGGGTCGTGTAGTCCCCAGAGACGAAGATAAACTAAAGTACTTGATTAAGTAAACACACACACACACAGGACTACTCATCGCTACAAGGCACACTGGACAGGCTACAGGCATGGACTACGGAGAACAAGGTCACCATCAACCACACCAACACCGTAGTCATGCACCTCAATACAGCCACCACTCCAGTGCAAGCTCCAGCAGTTACAGTGGGTGCCCATCCTCTCCAGTTAGTACAGTCTGCCAAACTCCTGGGTGTCACCATAGACCACAAACTGGACTGGAAGGCCCATGTAAACAACACAATCAAGGCAGCTTAGTACCGACTCTACATACTACGACGACTCAGGTCACTTGGGGCACCCACGCCAGAGCTGAGGACTATCTACAACGCCTTTATTTTCCCCAAATTAACATACGCGTCATCAGCCTGGTCGTCTTCTCTCAACAACGTCAGCCAGAGAAGGTACAGAAAAGGGCCTGCAGAATCATGCCCGGCGCAGACTACTCCGGCTACAAGAACGCTCTTTCCACCCTGGAAATGCCATCCCTCAGTAACCTCCACCACCAAGCACTAGCAAGGTTTGGCAGTGGATTACTGCACCATCCTCGTCATCGCCACCTCCTGCCACCGGCAGTCCCCCGCCCACCTCGCGCAGTCCGCCACTACAACAAAATTCAGCCCATAAGAGCCCGCACTGATAGATATAACAACAGCACCATCCCATCCATTGTTAAAATAATAAACAACTTCTGATTTATGTACTGCACAGCCCTGTAAAGGTATTCAACGCACATCATTAAGTTTAAATCACATGTAAGTTTGTATATTTTCAGCCACCGGCTGCAACTCTATTAATAAACCGATTATTATTATTATTACACACGCACACGCCCACACACACACACACACACACACACACACACACACACACACAATGGTCCTTTACGGATGACCTGATTAAAAGTTACAGCGGTGGAAGAGACTGAGAAGCCACCACCATAATATTCACACCGTCATGACTCTCCACTACCTGACTTGGACCATATATGGCCAAGTCACTGAGTCAGTACACAACATCTGCCGGTGGACGAGACGTGGGATGAGGTCTTGTCAGCAGCGGACATCAACACGACTCATCAAACGTGTGTAGCCCCTGACCAGCATAAATCATCAAGGTTACTTTTCACCTCAAGCTGCTGGATGACGGTATGGCAAAGTCAGAGAAGTTACTGGGGAGGCCGCAAGAGCAGGTCGAGGGACCTTATAGAGAAACGATATCCACCCACCCACCAACCCATCCCTCTATACCCAATGTCCAAACCATAGTGGGCGAGCAGGCGGCCGGGGCACCACAGAGAAGCCACCCGACCAACATGGGTGTTAGACATTAGTGTTTATGTAAGTTGGCAGCTGAGACCAATGAAAAGAATGACTATGTGTCTCCCTGCCAAGCGGTACAGGCGCTGTTTTTACACGCTCATGCGCTACGTCTGTGGGAGCATGAGGGCCCTGGTGTCTCTTCTACAGCAAGTGTTTACAGCGTACGTCATGTAATGGTCAGGGCCAGTGACTCTAGGCCGGCCTTCCAAACAGGTGGCGTCGCTATCAACAAGTGAGATCATTCACCTCGTCCCGAAATTGAAAATGATGTTTTTTTAGCGGCTACAGGCGTCAGTTTATAAACTGTTTCTGCTAAACAAGACCTTGGGATAGTGAGGGAGGTGATGTGGCGTGTGTACATACAGAGTTGGGTGGTGAGGGCAGGTAGTATTTCGTAATGAATGTAAGGTGTGTCTCTCTGTATTCTCCTCACCACTAAAACAGAAGTTACTAAAAATAGATTATGCTGGTAAAATGTCTTTCTTCTTATTTCTGAACGAACTCAAATTTTGTGACTAAACTACAAGACCATGAATACAAAGCTGAATGTTACTGAATGGATCACAGTTAGCCACAGAGATCATTAAAGTAGAATACATTTTATCCCTTATATTAAAACAGAAGTTACTAAAAATAGATTATGCTGGTAAAATGTCTTTCTTCTTATTTCTGAACGAACTCAAATTTTGTGACTAAACTACAAGACCATGAATACAAAGCTGAATGTTACTGAATGGATCACAGTTAGCCACAGAGATCATTAAAGTAGAATACATTTTATCCCTTATATTACTATCCACTGACTCTATAGGACCACGAGTGTTAGTATTTGGTGGTCGGTCTCTCTCTCTCTCTCATCACCATGTTAATCATCGTGAGGGGTGTTAAGTGTAAACCCAGTGACCATGATGTTACAAATGGTGAACAACCGTAGCTTAGTGTAGCAGTCTCTCCCACCCACCCACACACACACCCAGCCTCCACCAGTCATATTAGACCCAGTTCTTAAATTAGAATCACAAGTGGACATAATAGTTTAACTTGTGTATTTACTATCTATCGCCTACTCATGTCCCAAGGTCAATCCTCACCTCACTGCTTGCCCGGGTTGGGTCTTTTAGTATCATGCTGTCAACCTCCTCCTATATCTCCCACTTCTGAACATTACCTTGTACTATACCCTTCTTGCACCCTCAGAGCCCAGACTCTCTTCTCTCCGTATTAGCAACCAACCAAGTTAAGAGAAACACTTGAGACCCTCCAATTGTGTGTAAATGAGGCAGAAAGTCGGGTCAGCAACCTGGGACTTGGTCACAATTTTCGTGATGCCATATGGCAGCAGAGTCTACCATTAGACAACACATTATGCTTCCAATATCTTCCCAGGCGGTAGTACCTCCCTGTAAATGGTTGTGTATATCTACGTAATTATTATAGAAAGTAGATTGATATTATTTATGGTACGTCTGTTATCCTGTGTATGATATTAAATATTAACAAGAGATTAGTAACGTTACATTATTCATACTATTCTGAAAACTATCACCATTTATTTATCGAGGTGATTTTATTATACATTATAGTGATCATACAGTATATTTTATGCTGTTAGATGTATACAGGAAGACTTATTACTAGTTAAAGGGTTATATCTCAGTGTACAGTATATTACCAAAGCGTGCGGCCAGCCTTACCCAGGTGGAGTGAGAGGCGCTGTACCGTGCCAGACCAGAGGGGGGTCATCAGGCCGGGGGGTCATCAGGCCAGAGGGGGGTCATCAGGCCGGGGTCAGGCCAGAGGAGGGTCATCAGGCCGGGGGGGGCTCAACAGGCCGGGGAGAGTCATCAGGCCGGGGGCCACTGGGACCAGAGGAGGGGTCATCAGGCCGGGGAGAGCCAACAGCCGGGCAGAGGCCACGGGCCGGGGGGGCCACTAGACCAGAGGGGCCATCAGGCCGGGGGGTCAGGACCAGAGGAGGGGGCTACCAGGCCGGGGGAGAGGCCACAGGCCGGGGAGAGGCCACAGGCCGGGGAGAGGCCATCAGGCCGGGGGGTCACTTCAGACCAGAGGGGGGCCACAGGCCGGGGGGGCTATCAGGCCGGGGGGCCACTGACCAGAGGGGGGCCATCAGGCCGGGGGAGAGGCCATCAGGCCGGGAGAGGTCATCAGGCTGGGGAGAGGTCATCAGGCGCCGGGGGAGAGGTCATCAGGCCGGTGGCCCACAGACCAGAGGAGGGTCATCAGGCCGGGGGCCACCAGGACCAGGAGTGGCCATCAGGCCGGGGTCACAGACCAGAGGGGACTACTCAGGCCGGGAGAGGTCATCAGGCCGGGAGAGGCCATCAGGCCGGGGGAGAGGCCATCAGGCCGGGGGGCCATCAGACCCTGAGCAGGGTCATCAGGCCGGGGGCCAACAGGCTGGGGGCCATCAGCCAGAGGAGGGGTCATCAGGCCGGGAGAGGCCACACCAGGCCGGGGAGAGGTCATCAGGCCGGGGGAGAGGTCATCAGACCAGAGGAGGGTCACTGTGGCCGGGGAGAGGTCAACAGGCCAGAGGAGGGTCATCAGGCCAGAGGAGGGTCACTGTGGCTGGGGGTCATCAGCCAGAGGAGGGTCATCAGGCTGGAAGTCATCAGGCCGGGGAGAGGTCATCAGGCCGGGGAGAGGTCATCAGGCCGGGGAGAGGTCATCAGGCCGGGGGGTCATCAGACCAGAGGAGGGTCATCAGGCCGGGGAGAGGTCATCAGGCCGGGGAGAGGTCATCAGGAACAGACCCAAACGGGTGTTGATGATTACGATGACTTTAAGCTTCCATCCTATTGTTGTCGGTCATCAGTCATTATATAGTCACCTTTAGTCATCGTCTTGTTACATTCATCAAATATAGTCATCATATTTACTGCCCTTACATTGCTACATTAACCATACTCAAAGCTATCACACTCAGTCATCAATACTAGAACTAGTTGTTAACGAGCCGTTTTCAAGAACTGCCCTGGGGTGTACGACGCCATTTACAATGACCTTCTTGCCCTGATCTTGTTTCAGGAATACCACCTTTTCGAAGCTCTGGAGAGATCTCAAGGTTTCGATATTATGAGTACAGTCATGGTGATGTATACACAAGCACGTACACACACACTGCGAAAACACCATTGCATCACGCGTCGTATTTATCATTATATTCACACACGGGCACTGGGTAAACAACGGAATGCATGCACGTACACACATACACACTTACATACCAAAATAACCGCCAAACACGTACACACAAATACAGTAAGCAGAAACACACACACACACTATTGGTCACCAATATATACATACAGTATATTACACACTTCATGGCGAGCTATTTCAAACACACATAGTCAAATAGCCATTAAGAATCAGACATTTGTTTACAGGACATATTGGGATGAAGAAGACCTTAAGAAATAAACACCTAAAGTACTGACATGAAGTCCTGGGAGACCCTTGGTCGGCGCCTCTTGTGTCTTCCGGAGTTTCGTCTCACACAGACAGCGATGGTCGAGGCTGGTGACGTGCAGTACAATAATAATAATGGTTGCCCCTCATACAATGAGGGGCCACCTAGTCGTGAATTTGTTTAAGGTGTCGAAACTGTCGCCAACACAACAACCACACCCTGAGTTAACGAGTTATATGACCCAGTTTCAAGGAATAGTCCGAGAAGACGGGACAAATCGCCAACTGCACTGGCTAACCATTACCCTGGAATACTATCCGAAATCGATTAACATCCAGATCCCCAATTACTGCTGGGTAGAGAGGCAAATGGCGTAAAGAAACTTGTCCATAGTTTCACCCTGCCCGGGTATCGAACCCGAGTCCACTCGCTTGCGATGCGAGTATGCTGACCATTCCACCACGTGCAGTACAGGAAAATTCAGCGGCCACACAACCAGTAGTTGTTGAGAATGTCGAAAAGAGTAACGAATCTTTCATTACTGGTTGTCCACTTATCTACATATCTAGTTAGTCTAACAGTGATTCTATATATTAAGATTATATTTCAGTATAAAAGGCGGGTTTTTTGTTATTACCTTTAACCCTTCGTAGGACAGGGGTTTCTCTCAGACGAATAAATTAAATCGTCTGTCGTTACCCAGAATAAAACACCTACTGTAAGTGCGCCGCTGCCTTACAAAGGGTTAACATTAACTGCGGGAGTGGCTGTGGTCACCACACCTCACTCGACACCTTTGTCGCCAAATTTTTCCTCTTGTCCTGCCCGAATATTTATAATGAAGACTATCGATGATTACAACGACGTCTCTAGTGTGAGGTGCAGACCCCAGAGATAATGTGACCACTATTAGGATGTAAATACACTACAGGAGGATCTAAATAAACTGCAGGGGTGGTCTGAAAAATGGCAAATGAAATTCAACACTAGCAAGAGCAAGTGCAGCGTACTTAATATTGGAAGAACAAATACTGTCAATGTATACAGCCTTAACAACATCAACCTAGAGAAGTCGACTTGTGAAAGAGACCTAGGGGTACTTGTAAGCCCGGACCTACGGCCTAGAAAACAGTGCGTTAATGTTCGAAATAAGGCAAACAGAGTATTAGGTTTTATATCTATAAGTGTAAGTAATAAGAGTGCAGAGGTCTTATTGCAACTATATCTTGCGCTAGTCAGGCCTCACCTCGATTATGCGGTTCAGTTCTGGTGCCCTTATTATAGAATGGATATCAATTCACTGGAGTCGGTGCAGCGAAGAATGACGAAAATGATTCCGGGACTTAGAAACCTTCCATATCAGGATAGGTTAAAGAAACTAAACTTGCATTCCCTAGAAAGAGTGCGGGGAGATATGATAGAAGTATTTAACTGGGTGAAAGGAATCAATAAAGGGGATATAGATAAAGTTCTTATCATATCCGAGCAGGATAGGACTCGAAGCAACGGATTTAAGTTGGATAAGTTTAGGTTTAGGAGGGAGATAGGAAGGAACTGGTTCACAAATAGGGTGGTGGACGAGTGGAACAAGCTTAGCAACTTTGTAGTAAGTGCGGGAACGCTGGAAAGTTTCAAAAAGAGGCTGGATAGATTCATGGATGATAGAGAGTGGTAGTAACTCTCGACAGGAGCTGCCATGCACAGGTCAACCGGCCTATTGCAGACTCCTTACTTTCTTATGTTCTTATTATTGTTATTACTGTACTGTTTGCTGACTTACATCTAAGGAACGTTTACTCGGCCCCAGTGTTTACTGTAGGTGTGAGCTGTCATGAGAATATTGTCCGCCTTACTCACCTCGCGTCAACTAGTCGAGTGGTCGCGCCTGGTGTTCTCAGGCAGTGATATTTAGCTCGTGTGAAAGTTGGAGACCAGTCAACTTTTTCAGTGACTCGTACACGAGTGGAGTGAACGGTTGTACGAGCAGCGCCGTGTGTTTATATATTAATGGTGTACAAACGAGTTTGAAATTATTATTACATATGTGTTTGGTTCTTACAGGTTGTGCACTGGTACAGTGACCATGGCTGGAGTGAACAGCCGGTCAACACTGTTAGCGAGGAGCTGCCTGGAGAGCAGCTTGGCGCCAACTAACCCGTGATATTTAGGCGTAAGTGCTGGCATGCCAGTCTTACTCCCGCAAGCCATGAGTGCTCGCATGCAAGGAATTCACACCATGTAAACGAGCCTTTGGTGAACAGAAACAGATGCATCTAAAAACTCTTTTGGTACATTACTGATACCTGAGTTGGTGACTCACGTACACTTGCTATACTTCCCCTACACGGGTGTCAGTAAACATTAGTCGAATTGTCCACAGCCGACACACCTCACCAACACTCACGCAACCCTAGATGAAAAACATAACATGAACTAATTTATCTTTACCTTAACCTAATCTAACTTAAACTAACCTTAACATAACTTAAACTAACCTTAACATAACTTAAACTATCCTTAACATAATTAAACTTAAACTAATAATGTATATATTATTTTATGTATCTTAACCAAAAGTAAAATTAAACTAAACCTCTTTGGACCCAAGCTAAACCCAGACAAGTTTTCGTACGTTTACTGTTCTCCCTCCCATATCCTCACCCCCACCCATGCCCCATCTCCCCCTCCCATGCCCCTCTCCCCCTCCTATGTCCTCTCACCTCCCCATGCCCCCTCTCCCCACCAAAATTTAATCTAACCCAGCTTAACCCAAACCTACACCAGACTTACACTAACCTAACCTATCGTGAGGCAGGGATGTAAAATGAATGGAAAACGGTGCATATCTTCGCCACCCACGGAAGAATAAAGCCACAACAGGGGAGGTCAAAATAAACACTACCTGAGCGAGATGTAAATAAACAGAGGCGATACTAGGACACACCTGACTATAAAGTGTAGTGTAAGCGCTGGCTGCCAAGGCGGGAGTCAACATGATCAACGCTGGAATGGTGCAGGTCTTGAGACGGTGACTCCTACCTCCCTCACCCAACATTCTCACAATATTCCTCACCTACGGAATCCCTCTCAACAAAATCCTCAAGAGTGTTTTCCTCCAAGATAAAAAAAACCCACTGAATCTCTCTCTCTCTCTCTCTCTCTCTCTCTCTCTCTCTCTCTCTCTCTCTATATATATATATATATATATATATATATATATATATATATATATATATATATATATATATATATATATATATATATCATTAATTGTCTTTGAATTCCTAAAAATAAAAAAAAGGATCACCTGAAGAATCGTCACCCCAGAGGTTGGCAAAATGACAATTCTTCAGGTGGCAACTCCTGGGGTGACCATTCTTCAAGTGGGGTCAGGACCCTCCATGGTGGTTAATCTTCAGGTGAGGTCAGGTAAAAGGCCAAAAGGGTGAGGTTGGGTTAGGTTAGGTTAGGTTCATTATAGGGTGGGGTGATGTTTCTTCAGGTGAAGCGGGCTGGGGTGACGCTTCCTCAGGTGTTCCAAAAAAGACTGATACCGAATGACGCTACGTGTATTCATAAATATCAAGTCACTGGAGTCGGTGCAACGAAGAATGACGAAAATGATTCCGGGACTTAGAAACCTTCCATAACAAGACATGATAGAATTATTTAAGTGGGTGAAAGGAATCAATAAAAGAGTTATAGATAAAGTTCTTATAATATCCGAGCAGGATAGGACTCGTAGCAACTGATTTAAGTTGGATAAGTTTAGGTTTAGGAGGGAGATAGGAAGGAACTGGTTCACAAATAGGGTGGTGAACGAGTGGAACAAGCTTAGCAATTTTGTAGTAAGTGCTGGAACGCTGGAAAGTTTTAAAAGGAGGCTAGATAGATTCATGGATGATAGAGAGTGGTAGTAACTCTCGACAGGAGCTGCCATGCACAGGCCAACCGGCCTATTGCAGACTCCTTATTTTCTTATGTTCTTAAATAATTACGGCATCTAGTCATTCCAGTGTGAATCATCAGTGAAAACAACTCCGTATAAAGAGACTAGACACAAAATGTAAACAAATAAAATGGAAGGTTTCGTAAAAGTAATATTATTAATGAAGCTTTCAGGGATTTGGCGCCAATATTCTCACTGTGAAAATTTGAATAACCTGAGAATTGATATATTAACTAATTCAACAATATCTCCACAGTAAAACTTAACACGTAAATTAAAAGTTTATATAACATCACCTCCTCCTTCGTGCCAACACAAACATCTGAAGAACGGCTCAGCAATTGGGTTGTGTAATTATTAAAACAGTGGCGGGATGAGGGAACACGGGCCGACCCAGCTGCCAACCGCCGCCTCTCCGTCCACCAGAGTATTTTGGTTCAGCATCACGTGACCCACTCGGCACGCCTTGCCATATTCTGCGTCCGGCAACTAATGGGATCCGGTGTACCATGCCATATTCTGCATCCGGCAACAAATGATGGAATTTATTGCACCTTGCCATATTCTACGCCCGACAACTGATGGGATCTAGTGTATCTTGTGACCCTCAGTAGGATAACAGCCTTCTGTCAATATACTGAAAACTTTATGACCATAGTACGTCAGGGTCAGGCAGGACACACACACACACACACACATACATAAGAACATAAGAAAATAAGGAGTCTGCAATAGGCCGGTTGGCCTGTGCATGGCAGCCCCTGTCGAGAGTTACTACCACTCTCTATCATCCATGAATCTATCTAGCCTCCTTTTGAAACTTTCCAGCGTTCCAGCACTTACTACAAAGTTGCTAAGCTTGTTCCACTCGTCCACCACCCTATTTGTGAACCAGTTTCTTCCTATCTCCCTCCTAAACCTAAACTTATCCAACTTGAATCCGTTGCTCCGAGTCCTATCCTGCTCGGAGATGATAAGAACTTTATCTATATCCCCTTTATTGATTCCTTTCACCCACTTAAATACTTCTATCATATCTCCTCGCACTCTTCGTCTTTCTAGGGAATCCAAGTTAAGTTTCTTTAACCTATCCTGATATGGAAGGTTTCTAAGTCCCAGAATCATTTTCGTCATTCTTCGCTGCACCGACTCCAGTGAATTTATATCCATTCTATAATAGGGGCACCAGAACTGAACCGCATAATCGAGGTGCGGCCTGACTAGTGCAAGATATAGTTGCAATAAGACCTCTGCACTCTTGTTACTTACACTTCTAGATATAAAACCCAATACTCTGTTTGCCTTATTTCGAACATTAACGCACTGTTTTCTAGGCCGTAGGTCCGGGCTTACAAGTACCCCTAGGTCTCTTTCACAAGTCGACTTCTCTAGGTTGATGTTGTTAAGGCTGTATACATACCAACCTCACAAGTTAAGCTGGGATTTGTGTTGTGGTTCTGAGGGAAGAAACGAGTAATTGAGAGGACCAAGACTGTACCCCAACACAATCCACTACACCTTAAAACAGACACACGTGAGGAGGGCATGTCCAGGTATACTTGAAGGGCGACAGACATACACTTGAAGGGCGACAGACATATACTTGAAGGGCGACAGACATACACTTGAAGGGCGACAGACATACACTTGAAGGGCGAAAGACATACACTTGGAGGGCGACAGACATACACTTGAAGGGCGACAGACATACACTTGAAGGGCGAAAGACATACACTTGGAGGGCGACAGACATACACTTGAAGGGCGACAGACATATACTTGAAGGGCGACAGACAAACCAGACACAAAATACAGGAAAAAACGAGATTCCTTGTGAGTGTGACAAGATTTTGGCGGCCACAGTAAAGGGACGATGAGTCGTTTAGTCTATTTTCATTTGACATAATTCACCTCTACTGTTTATATTTACTTACATAAATATTAAAATATATATATATATACTGTATATATATATCCATCTAGCCATAAGTAGTGATGATTAATGGACCTATAACCATCACCTGTAATCTGTTTATGCTTGTGACGTGTAACTATTTCACGAGCATCGAGGACTACACACTATAGTATTACAGGTGATGATCTTCCTCATAAATAGTCTTAAACATACAGTAAATATATTCAACTTTGTCATACAGTAATATATATATAGTGATCATATCCTCCCCTGTCGTCTTAACCTACACTGTCATGAATCTTGCTTTGAGGAATAGTTAATCTGTCACTATTTCCCGTATATACTGTACACTACACTACCACAAGATAATTTATATGAGAACAATTCCATATTTTTTTATCATTAAATTAATTAAATATTTTATAGAAACTTAAATCTCTGGTCTTGGCTCAAGCTTTTAGTTCCACCACGACCATAATTTAAAACTTAAGGTCAAATAACCTTATATATTCTAAATCAATTGTTTTTAAATGTCAAATTCGTCAGGCCATCTCCGACACAGGGCTCCACACTCAGACACCTAATTAACTATAGGTATCCTGACAGCAACTATCTCACACTGTAATGATTAATTTCTCCTCTTCAGTATGTCTATGACCTTACTGAAATAACGGAAAACCTTAACCGACGGAATGAATGACGCATCGAGTCCCTGAACACAAAACAAACCAACTTACATTTCCTGATTTTGTGTGTTCCGAACTTCCGATTGACCAATACATACTTCACTTCTTTCAAGTCCTCCCTTTAGGAAGCTAAGGAGTGTGGAATGCAGCACCATACATCAAACCCTGGCAAGCCGAACCAGGGAGGGGATTTCCGCTGTGGGGGCGTGGGACAGGACGGTCAAGGATCCAGCCGATACCCGTGTACAGAGGGCGAAACCAGGGCCACATAGACTGCCCCACACGTTGTCCTGAGTGATGGCATCCCCCCCAAGTGTGACCGGCTACCCCCGGCCGGATTGGCGGAAAGTTATGTTGCAGAGAAGAAAGGCAGATGGAACAGAAAAATCATCTGGAATATGTTGGAAAATGATGCTCTACACGTAGAGGAAGCGCAGATGGAACAGAAATATCATCTGAAATATGATAGAAACCAGGAGGAAGTGAGAAGAAGTCAGAAGGTGTGGAGACACGACCTACAAGGTGCGGTATTGAAGAAAGAAAGACGTGCTATGTGAAGAAAGAAGACAGAAGATGTGCTGTGCTGACATCAGAAGAACGTCGA